GCAGGAGGGTGCGGATGCGGATGTCAGCGCACAATACCGGATTCAGCCAATGTCCTGATTAACAGTTTGAGTCCTGTGTGTCCTGTGCCTCTGACGCACAGGATGCACAGAACGCAAGAGGAAATTTTTGCTGATGAGCATCAAAATAGAATTGAATCTGAGAGGTAAGTAAGGATATAGTCAGGATACCCAGAGGCTGGAGGTATTACATATAACCGGAAACCCCGGGTGTTTAAATTCAGGATAAACAAGATGTGCATCAGTAAAAATACAAGGTTGCATCCTATGCGTCCTGTGCATCAGATGTATAGGATGCACAGGACGCAAACCACGACTCAGGATGCAAATGCTTCTTGATGCCAGAAGTTGAGATGCAACTGAGAACTCTCTGAATTCCCTGGACGCAACCAGATACAGCAGCTCTTCTCAGGATGCAAGTGAGTACTACTAAATTTTCAGGATGCAATGCTAGGACTGGACCTTGTAACCTATGTCACACATTATGCATATTGTGAAAGTGGCAAAATAAAGATCATTTGTATTCATATTGGTTCTATAATACAGTGTAGAGAAAGAAATGTTCTAAGCTCCCACCCGAATGAGCACACTATACGCCCTACATTTCAGATAATAACACTATAGAGGTTGGGGCTGAATAAACATTCAATACACCATTGGAAAGCCAGAGTCAGGTATAACCAGGAAGCTGAGGATTGGCTGCTGCACCCATCGGATTGCTGAGGAATCTGGCATCAAAGTTAGCACTTCACCAAAGGTCTACCAGTAGGGGGTTAAGACCACTTCCATAATAGGCTGTAGCTCCCCGAATATTGGCACTGGGTAGACGTTGAATACACCGGTGGAAAGCTGGCATCGAGAAGAATCAGGGCACTGAGTATTGGCTACTGCAGCCATAGGGTGGCTAAGGAATCTGGTATCAAAGTTAGCACTCCACCAGAGGTCCACCAGAGTAAGACCACTTCATAGTAGGCTGTAACTCCACCAATATTAGCGCCGGGTAGATTTTAAATACATCGTTGGAAAGCTGGCGTCGAGTAGGATCAGGGCACTGAGTATCGGCTACTGTAGCTATAGGGTGGCCGAGGAATCTGGCATCAAAATTAGCACTTTACTCGAGGTCTACCAGTGTAAGACCACTTCTATAACAGACTGTAACTCTAGCAATATTAGTGCCGAGTAGATGTTAAATACACCATTGGAAAGCTGGCATCAGGTAGGATTAGGGTGCCATGTAGCGGCTGCTGCGCACATAGGATGGCTATGGAATCTGGCATCAAGTTTAGAACTCTACCAAAGCAAACATGACTTCTATAACTGGCTGTAACTCCCCCAATATTGGTGCCGGGTAGATGTTGAATATACCATTAGAAGGCTGATGTCAGGTAGAATCATGGTGCTGAGTATCGGCTGCTGTGCCTATAGGATGGCCAAGGAATTTGGCATCAAAGTCAGTACTTTATCAAAGGTCTACCAGGGGGGAGTTAAGACCACTTCCATAATAGGCTATAGCTCCCCTAATATTGATATCGGGTAGACATTGAATGCACAGTTAGAAAGCTGGTGTCAAGTGGAACCAGGATGCCAAGTATTGGATGCTGCATCCAAAGGGTGTCAGAGGAACCTCGCATCAAAGCTAGCAGTTAAGTAGAACCTTGCTACCTTGCACAGCCAGCACCAGTAAAAAAAACAACAAAGTCCAGAATGCAGGGGAGGTGGTATGCAGGACACTGGTAAGGGGAAGAGCTGGTAGAGGGCGGACTGGTAGGGAGGAAGGCTGTTAGTGGGCAGGCTGGTAAGGGGGTGGTAAAGGAGAAGCAGTTAGCAGCTAGATTTATCACTAGAAATCTCAGGATGGTAACTGGGTGCCAGTGGCCTCGCTTACTTAGGATGCAATCTGGATATGGCACCTCCTAGCATAAGCACTAAGATTCACAGGACACAACCAGACTTGGTGTCTAATTACCAGATGCACAGGACACACCAGATGCAGAATTCTTCCTACTTGTATCAGGATGCACTGCCCATGCATCTGATGTAGGATTTATTCTTGCTGATGTGGTTGGCCATTGTGATACAGTACTACATGTACTGGACAGGGGATGCCAGTAGGAAACCACCTAGTGTCTGGACGCAGCACCCATACATCTGATACAGGATTCATTTTCACTGATATATAAGGACAATATATATATAAATTACTTTTTAACTATATTAAAATCAGGACTGTAAGGAAGTAAAACCTCTAACAGTATGCCAGTATCATGACATATCTTGCGCAGCTCAAGATTTTGATGGATAGTAGCATTGTCTAGGATACATTAGTAAAGATTATTCCTGCGTCAGGTGCACGGGCAGTGCGTCCTGACGCAAGTAAGAAGAATTCTGCGTCCTGTGCGTCCTGTGCGTCTGGTACTCAGGCGCTGGGTATGGTTGCGTCCTGTGCATCTGGTACTCGGGTGTCGGGTCTGGTTACATCCTGTGCATCTGGTATTTGGGTGCCAAGTCAGGTTGCGTCCTAGTGCTTATGCTGGGAAGTGCCACATCCAGATTACATCCTAAGTAAGCGATGCTGACTACTAGTAGTTACCATCCTGAGATTCTGAGTGATAAACACAGCTGCTAGCAGCTCCCCCTTAACTACCCCCCTACCACCTCCTCCCTACCAGCTCCCCCCCTACCGGCTCCCCCCTACCAGCTTCCCCCCTACTGGCTCCACCCCTACTACCAGCTCCCCCCCCTCCAGGCTCTCCTACATTCCAGACTTATTTGTTTACTTTGCCTGGTTTGCCAAGTTAGCGAGATTCTGGTTAAGTGCTGACTTTGACGCAGGATTCCTTGGGTGTCCTTATAGCACAGCATCTCATACTCAGCGGTCTGGTTCTACGCGACGCCAGCTTTCCAACGGTACCTTGGACGTCTTCCCGGCGCCAATAGTAGTAGAGCTACAGCCTGTTATGAAAGTGGTCTTTACCCTGACAGAGTTTTGGCTGAGTGCTGAGTTTGTCACCAGATTGCCCGGGTGTCCTTGGATGCACCTTCTGAGACTCGGCACCCTGTTTCTACGTAACGCCAGCTTTCCAACAGTATCTTGGATGTCTACCTGGCACCAATATTGGTAGAGCTACAGCCTGTTATGAAAGTGGTCTTTACCCTGGTGGAGTTTTGGC